ACAGACACAACACAGCAGCTTAAGCAATATGTCATCACCTCAGCGGCGCTTCACATTCTCATGTGAGACCGAAATTTGTTCTATGCAAAGCAGGAAAATTCGGAAGGATTTCTTATCCCAACAGGTCACCTACTGAGACTCGAAGCCACAGCTTTGAATGCCCGGAGAGCTTGTAAGATGGATCACACACATATCAGAGAGCTTCACAGCACCAAGCTCAAGTGGCACAATAGCTAGGCATCGAATAAAGAGCGCTGCTCGGCCCAGGATTGGCATTTTGCACTTTTGCTGGCTTTTCGGTACTTGATATTATCTAATGGGTCTCAATCTGGTGAACTCTCGCAAAGCAAAGAAATGGTACAAGTCACCCACTTAGATTATAGGATCTCACAGGTCTTCACAAGGTGGCATTTACAGGTTCTGTAGAGTCCCATTCGATGCCCCACCAGGGCAAACCTCGCCCAAGACCGTCTAGGATAGGTTAGTTACCTCTTCGACTTCTATTATGGTGATTTCCTCTTCATCTATCAGCGTCAAATCTTCCAAGCACACAACATCACCACCAGAGTCTTCTAAACCTGAAAAAAAACAATGGACGCATTCAAAAATTCTCAATCCATATTTAGCCTCATGATATATATTACCACCAACAAAAAATAGTTGAGAAAAAAATCGTAAAGAACCAAAAAGCAAAAGAATACAGCTTAGAGCATACCTTTTTCCACTTTTTCCATTGTAAGATCGATAACTTCAGCTTCTACCTGCGACCGTAACGTCAGACTTAGGTCTTCTACAAATCAAAGCATGAATATTTACTTGTTTAGTACATATTACAAAACAACGTAAACAAAATCTCAAAAACCTTTGAGAAATTTTTCTTCTCATGAACTACCGGCTCTATTTACCCTTTAGGGTCCGATTGTTCGAAACTCGGGGAAGATTCTGAAACAAACTTTCCGTGAGCGGAACTGCACGGAGTGCTTGTTCCGGGCCAATAGAGCTCCTTATCGCACTCGCTTATCATGAAAAATGCCTGCTGCTCGCGCCAAAGGCGGCGTGTAAGACTCTGCATGGGCACCACTAGCCCATAAACCCAGCTTTTTCGAGCAAACGAATGAAATATTCGTAAAAGAGGGGCAGGCCACTCATGAGGAAAAATATTCAACGAGTTTGGTGAGTTGATGCTGTTTTGGCAACGGCACCTTTGAAGCGAGTGGCGGCGTTTTCGTGCCAAGCGATAAGTGTGCACCGGGTTTCCCGTTCACGGGGAATGAGAATCCTAGCCGAAACTCACGGGGGAGGGGAATCGAACCTCGTACAGAACGTAGGGGCAGTAAAGGGTAAATAGTGCCAAAATACCTATCGCTCGATGGAAACTCTCTGGATAACAAACCTTCAGTGAGATCGACCACACACTCCTCTTCCTCAATCTCCCCGTCTTCAAGGTCGTCATGTTGACTAACCAGACTACCTGGAACCATGAGGAATTACTTTCAAAAACTCAAGAAGTGGCAATAATACTTTGGGACACTCAATGAGATGGCGGCGCTAATATGCCCCGGGGGTGAGCCACACCTCTGC